TAAACAAAATGCTTCTCACGATGAAGAAGTTTTGGCTCATTACCAACAATTTTGGCCATCGTCGTGTCACCCTATCCGGCTAAGTCATAAGATTTGGTTTGATTTGCCAAATAGATTTAGCATCTTGGAATTTGAGCCATTCCCATCACGGTTAGGATGGACCTACGCAACTTGTGGTATGTCCCAGCCACAGGATCATGATCCTGTAGAGTTGCATATGTTTTGTCCTGAAAAACGGCCAGAACCGATTCAAATTTTAACGGCTTGCGCACATTTTCACCGGACAACCAAAAAACTTGCGCTAGGCGATACAATTTTTTTCGGACAGCCTTGGCTGCCTGAATCTGAATGTACTCATGGTTTAGTGTCTTTACCCTATCTGGATGGCCCACATTTCGAAAATATGTTGCAAAAAAAAGACAGGCCTGTTAAATTCTTTTGGCTAATTCCTATCACGGAAAATGAGGTAAAATTCAAGAAAGATCATGGTGTTAGGGCATTGGAGCAATTGTTTGAAGAATGCAACTTTGATTATGCGGATCCTTTACGCCCATCAGTTTGCTAAACTGGTGCTGCCGGTGTTTGCAAGAGAGACGATGGTTGATGCTATTTTCAGGTTAATTGTGTCGGTGAAATGACGATGAAGACAGGGCAGATGTAGGCCTAAAAGCGTGAGCAATGATGCGGTTGGCTAATTCCAATTCTAAAGGATGTATAAGCGAAACGACGACGACATGACAATTGTAAGACTAGAAGGCGTGACAAAGTGCTCATTCTATTTAGAATTGGAATTAATTGGAGTTGTTGGCGGGTGATGACTCAAGGACACCTGTTTTCAAGGAGAGTTTTTGTTGGATTTATCGTTAAACTACATTTATGAGCAATAAAATCGATCAATTAAACTGGGATGCTGTTTTAATGATAGCAGAAAAAGGCAATTTGCCACCTCCAGTACAAGTTCATAAGTCACTAGATGAGTGGCGAGCACTGCTAACACCATCGCAATTTGAGGTCACACGTTGTCATGGCACGGAACGTCCTTTTACGGGTGCCTTGTGTGAACGCTTTGAGCCTGGACAATATGCTTGCGTGTGTTGCCAAGAGGTATTGTTTGATGCTGATACAAAATTTGATTCGGGGACGGGTTGGCCAAGTTTTCATGCACCAGTTCAAGATAATGTGCTTGCCTATTATGTTGATCGAAGTTATGGTATGGTACGGGTCGAGGTGCGTTGTAATGTCTGTCAGGCACATTTAGGGCATGTTTTTCCCGATGGCCCACCGCCAACCTCTCTTCGATACTGCATCAATTCTGTCGCTTTACAAAAAGTTACTGCTAATACCCGCGGTGAATAGGTAACAACAAACCATTTAATGGAGGTGAATCATGTATTTTGAGGGGCGAGTTATTCATGATATCCAGGCACCTAAAGGTTGTTTTTGGTATAGTGTTTATGGTCGGCGTTTGGGATTTTTAAATTACGAAATCACCTCACCCACGCATCTCCATGCGATTGAAATTTTTGTTGAACCTGGAGAACGTGCCAAAAGCTTGGCGCATCATCTTTTTGAAGCTTTAGTTCATTTTGCGCGCGAAAATCACTACAAAATTGGCTCCTCATGCCGCTATATTGTGCATGCGTTAGAAGATGAGCACAAATATCAAGATGTTTTGGATGGTGATTTTAAACCAGTTGGATATTAGTAACCAATTGTTTTTATTTTGATAAATTATGGTAACAAAGATCTTGGCATCGATTGGCAACTTATTTTCGCTCATATGTCAATTTTGCGCAAAATCATATGGATAAAACTCGTAACCTACAAAATGAATCCATGGCCGGCAGCAAAAAGGCAAGCGTGTTTTATGCTGCGCTTATTGGATATGTGGACTGATCTATGAGCCACGTAAAATCAGCGCCATCATCGGTGTCAGCATCAGCACCCACAACAGGGGCGTCCAAAACTAAACCAAAATCAAAATATATTGAAGATGATGCCTTTGTGTTACAAATCCGACCCTATCGTGAAACGAGTCTGTTAGCAGACATCTTGACGCGTCATCATGGTCGTGTCAGTGTTGTGGCCAAAGGTGCAAAACGTTTGGGTTCAACATTACGACAAACTTTACTCCTATTTCAACCTTTACATTGCCGTTGGGTTGGGCAAGGATCACTGAAAACATTAACACTAGCAGAATGGCAAGGTGGAATGCCTTATTTACAGGGGCAATCTTTGTTGTGTGGTTATTATGTAAATGAATTATTAATACAATTGTGCGCACACGAAGATGAAGTGGAGAAGGTGTTTACGGCTTATCAAGCTTTGATGTACCGATTGACGCATCTTGACGATGATAATATTGCACAAGCGAGTGTTTTGCGTGACTTTGAATGGCAGCTTCTCAATGCGTTAGGTTATGCACCTGATATGGACCAATGGTGTCAGAAATTTTCCGTTCGCCAAGATCGCTGGTATTCCTTGTCGACGCATCATGACGCATTGATTGAAGTTACCACCAATACTCGACTGTCGGGCACGTTTCGGGGGGACATGTTGTTTTCGCTTCGCGATACAACATTGCAAACGGCGTATTTGTCTCAATATAAGGTTTTTTTTCAACAAATTTTGATACGCTATGCAGGTCTAAAGCCTCTGAACACTCGGCAAGTTTTTAGTGAATTATTAGAGTTCTAAAGCAAAAACTTCAAAAACATGATCATTACGTTGCGAGAAACCAAGTAGGCAAGTTAAAATGATGAGCACCGTCAAACCAAGTATGTTTTATAATCGACGGTACAGTTGTGGTATTAAGGACGATCATGAATGATGCGCTAATGGATGTGCCTGAGCAAGATCTAGAAGATCCGCTGTTTGAAGCTGTGATCGAAGATCAGTTCGCTGGTGAGCGCATCGATAAGGTTTTAGCAACCATGTTGCCAGAGTTTTCGCGGAGCAGAATTCAGCAAGCGATTGCAGAAAAACAGGTGATGTTGGATGGTAAGTTGGTCAGCAGTAAAACCAAAGTCTTTGGTGGAGAGTCGATCAAGGTTCTCGATATCACCAATGAAATGCAAACCGCATTTGAGCCTGAGAACATAGCGATTGAAGTGGTTGCCGAAGATGATGATATACTGGTGATCAACAAACCTGTGGGTATGGTCGTTCATCCTGCAGCAGGGAATTGGTCGGGAACGTTGTTAAATGCGCTGTTGTACCATTACCCTCAACTTGGGCAGGTTCCCAGAGCAGGTATTGTGCATCGGCTGGATAAAGACACATCTGGGTTGTTAGTGGTGGCAAAAAATATTGCTGCGCAAACACAGCTGATTAGGCAGATGCAGCAACATGAGGTAGAACGATTATACTTAGCAGTTGTATGGGGTGAGCCCAAGCCTATGGGATTGATTGATAAACCTATTGGCCGAGATGGTCGTGACAGAACCCGTATGGCACCCTTGACTTTAGGGGGGAAACCAGCAAGAACTCATTACGAGCAAATCGCCGTTGGCTATTATGATCACCACCAAGTTGAACTACCCATTACCGTTGTGAAGTGCCAATTAGAGACGGGACGGACGCATCAAATTCGTGTGCATATGGCTTCAATTGGCCACCCTTTGTTGGGGGATCAAACCTACCAGCATTTGGCACCTAAGGCGCGGCGGATGCCGCTACCGATGGATTGGCATAGGCAGGCATTACATGCCTTTCGACTGTCTTTGCGACATCCTGTTACGGGTGAACGTTTAGAATGGCAAGCACCGTTGCCAGATGATTTGCAAAAATTAATCAATGTGTTGGGATTTGATCAGGAAGCCATTCTGAGTGATATAAGTCCAATACAACAGGGGCGTTTTTAGTTTTTATGCGAAATATATCGTTAATTACACCAAAGTGGTCTGTGCCACGCAGCATCGTCGCATACAGTACAACGCGATATGGCGGGACAAGCCAACCGCCCTACGGATTAGGTGATGGCAAACCAGGTGGCTTAAATTTAGCATCACATGTTGGTGATAATTTAATTCATATTGCGGAAAATCGACGTCGATTGCGTGAGCTCACCAAAACCGTACCGATTTGGCTTAACCAATCTCACAGTACCAAAGTTATTCAGCTGACTAAAAATGCCAACCCGATCTTGCCACATGCGGCAGATGCAAGTTTTACGATAGAATCTGGCGTGACCTGTGGCGTTTTAACAGCCGATTGCTTACCGATCTTGGTGACTGACAAGTGGGCTCAATTTGTGGGGGCAATTCATGCTGGTTGGCGTGGCCTTGCCAACGGCATTATTGAAGAAACGATGGCGAAAGTTTTGCAAGCCAATGCTGATGTACAGCTTAATGACTGCTTGGCATGGTTAGGACCTGCTATAGGTCCAAAAGTTTTTGAAGTCGGACCAGAAGTCAAAGCGGTTTTTTTGAGTCAAGCTCATCCTGATGATTTGCCTGCAACGATAGAAGCATTTGTGCCCAGTCTCGATCATCCAGAACATTACTTTGCTAATCTATATGATTTAGCTAAAATACGTTTAAAACGCCTTGGTTTTGCCAAAATTTGGGGCGGTGAGCATTGTACATACACTGAACATAACAAATTTTACTCTTACCGTCGTGAAGGGAAAACGGGGCGTATGTTGTCGGCAATTATGAAGCGATCTTGACTCATTCCAATTCTATATAGGATGTCACTTTGCCACTCCTTCTAACCTTATGTCACTCTTCGCAACCTTACAATGGTAAGGTCTTCGTCGTTTCGCGTGTATATCCTATTGAGTAGGATGGGTGACGGTACCGATCTCAAAACAATTTTTTACCGCAGCTGGTATGCGTGTTGGTTTGTTGCTTAGTATATTCATGTAGATATACTCTGTTTTGGCCACGACGAGAACTTGTTGATCGCTTTTGCGAGCAAACTCAAATTTCCGAAGTGAGCGGATACCTTCTGCGTGATCAATCCACGTTCGACCAATAATATGTTCGCCATCAAATGTTTCTTTAAGATATTCAATGTGATGGGTTCGAACAAACCACGTATGCTCAAGGCTTTTAACGATTTTAGCTGCACCACAACAGTCAGAGTGATAGTTAGCTAATTGTTGCATCCACGATAAATAGACCGTGTTGTTAACATGACCATTGTGATCAATCATAT